TATCTATCTATCTATCTATCTATCTATCTATCTATCTATCTATCTATCTATCTATCTATCTATCTATCTATCTATCTATCTATCTATCTATCTGTCAGTTATATCAAAATGATGACACACAAGTTTAAATCAAAGGTTGCACTTTCTGCGTTCTTGATGCACTGGGCTAGAAAATGCAATGTCTCACTTGTGAAAATGCAATGTAGGGTTGTTGTTTTTTTTATGAGAAACCTCGATACAGTAGAGGTGGGTGTTAAGAAGTGCAAAGTGCAGACACATTATTTGCTCAGGCCACTGCTTGAGTGCAGCAGCAAACATGCACACAAACAGAAAACAATGAAGCCTTTACCTCAAGCACGTGGGAGGCAGAAACTCACTCACCGAGTGATCAGCTTAAGTGTTTACTCCAAACACACTGAGCTCAGTTATTGTGGCTGTACCACCGGATAGACCAAGTGTTCTCCTTTTGATCAAACTTTAGATGTGCTTGTTACTTCATCTGGATTTTAGATTGACAGTGTGCAAAATATTTTTGTTGTAGAGTTAACTTTAACTGATGCACTTTTGCAAAATGTATTATAACCAAAACCTGAAATTTATCATTTGAAACTGCATGTTTACAGTTAGGTCCACAAGGATCTGGAAAATAAGACAACTTTTCTTTTATATACAGCACACCGACTTCAGAGACTCACTACCACAGACTGACAGTTATTCCACATCTGCAGTGGAACTTGTATTTGGTAGCTGTTTGCTTGAACTCTCATTATTCTGAGGTCAAAAGAGATGCTGATGCAGGTGAAGGAGCACTCAATGCTCACATTCACAAATGCCGCAAACAGTGCAGATGGATAAAGACCCAAAGCACTGCAAACTGCAAAAGCAACCCAAAGGTTTCTCAAGGCGATGAAAAAGTCAAATCAACCACCTAATCGGAACCCAAGAGAGCTGCTTATCAGTTAATAAATACACAAATAAGCACTAAGTGAAGGCGGCTGCAGGAAAGGCCTGCCAGAGCATCAAAGAGGAGGAAACAAAGCAACTGGTGATATCCATGGGCTCCAGACTTCAGGCGGTCATTGAGGGTGGGGGGCGTGATGCTTAATATCTCAAATAAAAGATAAAGTCTGCAGTTCAGTCACATACTGATGGTTGATGGTCACATACTAGTTTCAGCAGATGGCATCACATCACCTCTATTGACTGCGCTTCGCTCATCTTTTAGAATTTATTTTAAGATCTTCTTATGATTGATTTGTATGATTTCATTATACTTGTTCGTATGAGACTGCACTGTGCTGCGTTATCAGAAATGCAGACTCCCATATGTCACTTCAAAGCCTTAGATTTTCAGCTGGGGCCCTTCTGGGTTTCCAAAGAATGAGGCTTAAATTCAAAGATGTCTGTGGATTTGCCATCAGGGTCCCTTGGCTTCGGAACAATCTGTATGAGTCGAATATGCAACCTAAGACACGCTGCTCCAGACCTGCGCATCGCTCTGCTTTTCTTCAAACACCTCTCTGTATTTTGCTGCTTTCATTTCCTTGTGTGCTCTAACCAGTCTCACTGTCCCTGCTGATGAGAAGTGTGAACAGCGTGATGCTGTCAAGATAATATTTCATCTCAGTCATCTCGGGGTTAAGCAGAAGGGTGTTTACCAGACGCAGCGCTTCAGGTTCTACCCAAAGAATTTATTTTTGTCTCATCAGTCATTTGAGTGGTTTCCATTCAGCCTCCTACTCCAATCAGCCAATACAGGTAGCAAAAGCCTTGCAGGGCTGATGCCGTACGCCTGTTTGGGGCATCACTAAAAACGAAAGTCTTTTAGCACACTAAAAGACACTTTGCAATGTTTCGGTGTAGGTTTCAGTTTATTCTAAGGTGAAAAAGCATCCACGTCTGTGTATAACCTAAGATCACGCTTTATTACGTGGTCTTGACAGAAAAATAAAGTTGGCGTTATAGGTGATTTACTTGGGTAAGTCCCTGCAACGTGCTAAAATACTGCTTATTTTTACATGCCAAAGACTCCACGACCTACTGTAACACAGACTAGAAGATAAAACAGTGCATTCTTTAAATACACAACTGTGTGTGGTGAGCGTCAACTTTAGTTACTAAAACCATAAAGAAAACCAGAATCTCAGGTAAACTTTTTTTTTTATTATAGAGGTGTTTTTACAGGATAAGAATTCAGAAATATTTGATTTTTTTTAAAAACAAAACAACACTCTGAAGACTTATTTTACACATCCCCCAGCATGCACCGCTGCCATCAAAATAAAGAGCAGTTTCTGTTCCTTCTGTGACACAGATCCAGTACAGTACATTCAGGAACTGAAGACAGTATTTACACACACATACACACACACAATAAAGTTGATAATTTTACATCCATTTACATCTTAAAAACTGCGTATTTCAATTAGAAACAATTCAGCAGTATGTAATAAAGTAGCACGTGACAGGACGGTACATTTTGAAAGCTTGCTGGATTTCAAAATGAACTTGCTCTTTCTCTGAGTAGCTGGTGAATAATAAACCAGAGAATACATTTTTAACATATGATAAAGATGTATGAGAACTGAGTAAATCAAAGACATCAATAAGCTTTCAAAAAGAGAACTTCAGAGGCCATGCATGCAGTTATTGCACATAGTGTCAGATTGTTGTTGTCAGATTTGCATGATAGTGGCGAGCTGATGCAGCAGCTCATGGAAAAATCACCAGTGACCTTTGAATATACAGTACTGATAAGCTGAAAGGTCTATAACTGATCTATAAGCATGTATGGACGGTGTCCCTGAAACTTTTTCCTCCGTGTTGTGATAAATACCCCGATGCAAAAGAAGTCACCAAACCTGAAAGTCAAAAGTGAGCTTGTTAAGCTCTCACACGATTATCAGCATGGGAGTGAAGATGAATTCTGGAGATGAGGTGAAGCGGAAAATGAAAGGTTTTCATGTTGGAAATGTCATCAAAGTGTAAAACCTTTCAGCCTGGGATTGCATGATGATGCATTCTCAGTCAAAACTTTCCACTCAAACAAAATAAAAGCCCCTAGTTTCTGTGTGCAGCCACTTATTGGGACCCATTTTAAAACTGACCTCTAGCAGCTGTTTGATTGTGCAAATTGTATCTGAAATTATCAACTTGGTAATTTAGAAATTTGAGCTTACTGGCATGTGTCACACTCTTCATCACACTAACCAAGTGGTTTTGGTTCTTAAATTATAGAAACAGCGAGTGAAAGTTTTGCATTATTTTCTTGCTGCATAACACCTTTATTATATGTTCTGCATGTACAAGAGTGTGCAAGTAAGTGCTGGGATTCTCATGAGCCACTACAATACAGTGACACCAACGGCACGTGCCAGCACGCACTTCCTTCAACCAGACTCCAAGTGAACTCGGAGGTGTAATCACGGCCACATGTGGATTTAGGCATTTGTTTAAAGTGGAAAACTCCCATTCTTCCACTTACAAGGTCATTTATGGTTCTATAGCAGGGGCATCAAATATAAGGTCTGGGGTCCAGATTTGGCCTAGCAAAGACTCCAATATGGCCTACAGAACAGCTTTGGAAGATTTTGTAGTTTTAACTGAAAAGCTACAAAACTACAAAGTGTGAGTTTTGTAGCTTTTCCAACTGATAAATAGGAACTGACATTCATACCACACCAGAGTGATTAAGTGTAGATATTAGTAATTGATTCTAGTCTACATATTTATCATGTAGTTTCACTGGTGGGCTGTCTGTGGCCCATGATGTAAAATTAATTTGGCATCCCTGTTTTACAGGAACTAACAAAGGATACCATGCTTTAGTTATTTCTGTCATTTGGGATACTTTTATAACTTAAGACAGTGTCAGCTGCAGAGTTTTGGTAACATATCCCATTCAAACAGGTTTGGATATCCACATTTCCAAAGCTGTCTCTAAATTCATGTGCTTAGTTGGCAGGTTTTTAAAGATTTTTAAATATTAAAAGCATCAGAATTGTTCAGTGTAGTTTTTAGTCAACAGAAGTGAGGCTATTTCAGTGGTAGAACAACCTAAATTTGGTGCTCTACAGAGGGAGCAAAGTTTGTAGGGGTCACTACATCTCCTGTGTTATCACCTAGTGCATCAGTGTGGTTCACTGAAGCTATTAAACACAGTGAGACCCAGAGCAGTGATGTACAGTAGACTCTGGGTACACAGGAAGTGCTTGCTTTGTGTTTCTGGTCTGAAGAAAATCTAATATCTAATTTATCGCCTGTTAAGTATTCCTTAGCGGCCGGATACCCCCGACACAAATTAACAGCAAAGAAAAATTGAAAGCTAACTGCGAGGCTGGGTTGTCACTGTAACTGTATTATGTTCTGGCTTGAGGTTTGCCGCAGCAGCATGCATCTCAATTTCGAGACCACCAAACACAAAGTGACACCTACATACACACTACCCATGCAGACTCTTCCTCTCCCAACTCTTTTGTTTGAGATATAGTGCAATAAGACATCCCTGTATAACAAAAGCAGGATTTTTAACACTTGCAAGAAATTTATATTTATATATATTTAGATTTATGTTATGTACACTAGTCGAACAGTGAGCTGTGCATCACATGTGTCTCTTTTCTGTGAGATAGCTGACGGCAGCATACTCTGTATCTCTTGGGTTGATCTCAACAATTGTCGGAGGTCTTTTGGGGAAGTCCAAGACGCTGTAGATCACCGAGGGTGCAGACACGCTGCTCAACGACGCCACTGATTCCTGCGAAGGCAACTCGAGTCAGGCTGAAGAATTTCCAGGCTTATTTTTTGCTCTAACAGCAGATCAAAATCTTTCTTACCTGCACTGTGGGAGTGGAGCTTTGCGGCCTTTCTTGTTGTTGCTGTTGTTTGTCTGCATGAGAAGAAAAGCAGGTGAAATGTTACAAAATAGGTGAAATCGGTCATGTATACTATATTTTGAGTTTTGCAGAAGAAGCATTCGTGGGACGTTCGAATAAAAAATTTCTTATCAAATTTAATGTTACAGCCCGTCAACCACGTCAGTTTATCCCCGATTTACATATTTTCCATTGTCATACTTTTAAAAAAGTGTGAAAATAGTCAAATCTCAATATTAAAGACATAAATGCCGCATGTTTTGGAATTTTTTAGCTCATAGGAAGTAGGGAGTAGGAGTATGCCACAGCACCCAGGAGTATAAAGGAAATAACATCCAAGATAAGTTTCTGATTCATCAGATAAGGAAAAAAAACGTTAGACGTTCATAAAAATAAAACAATTAACCGTCAAATACATCAAAAGCACGAATCCACGTCAAATACGTCGTAACCACATAGTGTTTGTGCTGTTGCGCAGGAGACCGGGTTTCGCTTTGCCGGTTTAGACTAAACACAAACTAAACATTATCATTGCAATGATAATGTTAATGTTCAGTTACTGAGCTCAATGATGAGATTGCATGTTTTTTCCTGAGCTTTTTTTACGCTAATATCAGCATTTTGTTACCTTTACACAGAGTTACGATTGCTTTTTACTTACTTAATGCTAAGCTAGGCTTAGCATCACCTCCTGATCCCGCCTCTGGAAAAAGATATAAAAAAAGCTATCGATATTCTTACATAAATACCATTAATTAAACAAATTAGCATTCAGATTAAGTGATAGCAAGCCAAAATTATGGACGATGAAAAATTTAATGCTTAACAATATTTTTTCAACGAATAATAATTATAATAAGCTGTGCTAAAGTAAAATGTTTTAATTTTGTTTTAGTTTAACTAAAGTTTGTGACTAAATGTTTTAGTCAAGCCTGACTTTTATAATATAGTTTTAGGTCTAAGCTTTTTGTAAGTTTATGCCGAACAAGTCACGTTGTCTTTATCCTCTAGCGGTGCAAATGCACCAGGACAAGTTGCCAAAGAAAGAGAGCAGTTTCTCTTCAGCATCTGTCGGTTTTGTGCAAAACCTCTACTCGTGGACAGCGGCCGGGCCCAATTAGCACGGCACGATGCAGGAGTGCGCAGTCAGCAATTGCTTGCATTTGTATACATGTACGGGAACTCTTCTAGTGCGGTTTCTGAGGTCACGGGGGCTGTCAGATTATTTCAGCGCGGCAGCGTTCCTACTCAAAGTAGGCCAGAGGGGTTTGTCTTTGAAGTGAAAGCGCACTCGTATTAGTGAACAAATAATGCAAGCTCTTTCTTTCCACCCATCTCTCAGTGATAGTAGGCACAATTAGATTTACATGCACTGAAGGAGGACTTATTTTCAAAAGAGATGAATCATCGCATCTATCAGAAGGATGTGAAACTGCAATCTGGTTTGCATTTTTGAGCATCTAACCACACAACTGCAAATTTTTTCCACAGAATAACAAGTGTTTCCTTACCATTACTTTGTTTGCTTGAAAAACTAGAAAATACTACTGACTGCAGCCCCGCACACGCAATTTGGCTTCATACCCCTTTACTATTTATATGTGGAGAATATTGAATTAAAGGTTCCTGATGTGTTTTATTCCAACTCAGCTGAGACTACGTTCAGACTACAGCATGGAAATGAAATAAAATCCTACGTCTCCAAAAAATAATAACGTTTTGGCCACAATCTGATAACAGACACAACACAACATATCAGTGAAAAGTGAAGGTGAAGATTGCTTTTGGACCGTATATTTGCTTACCTTTGGGTCTCACGAGACTACAGATCAACCATGGGAGTACTGTTGCTAACAGGACCACAGGTAAAACCGCGAAGATGATGATGATCTTATTGATGGAAAAGGAACTGTAAGTTTCATTGAAAACTGTGGGTTTAGTCGACGGCGGTGGAGCTGTAGGAGTTAAAAGAAAGTCATGAAAATATGTGAGCTTCACTCATATTTTCGCACCACGTTTATGAAAAGAAATGAAACAAAAAATAAAAATGATTAAAGATACTGAATAAGTTTAGATCCCAATGGATCTATGCATATTTCCCCAGTACATATAGACTAATGCAGTATAATACATATTTATAACATACATCAGCAACAGAAATAAAGCATGGTAGGCAGTAAAATTACACACTTCGACTCTTTCTTATGGGCTGTAAGCTGACACTGTAAACCAATGAGAATGTGAAACAGTGATCAGTATTCAGTTTTTCTGTGATCAATAACAAATAACATACTGAATATGTGAATAGTAACCAAGCAGTTACAAAAGGCTCATTATTTTATCTATAATGGGACTGTACATCAGTCAATCTCATATCAGCTGCTTTACGCTCAAACATCTCAGCAGCTCCACGAATGACGCAAATTGCGATTCTGTGAGGATAAATGTAACTGACACTGCTGTTTGTGTCCCCCGTGAATGCACTGCAAACCCTTTGATGTGCCTGATTTTCAAGCAGGCTTCCTTGTCAGGTAGAGAGGTAAATTTGCTCAGTAGCCCAGTTCTGACCAAATATTTGCAAACATAATTTATATTTAACGCTAGAACATGTTGACACGCTAGATAGCTTTGATTGCCTAGATTGTAAAGCTGGTTAATGTACGCCTGCTGGATAGCAAGATGCTAGCATGGTGACATCAGTATTTAGCATTTAGGTCAAAGCATCAGAGTGCTTTTTATTCAAACAGGCTAGGAAAGGAAGGCAGTATTATTGCCCTACTGCTCTGGTAAGTATCTACAGCAGATGGGACTGACTGAATGTCAGCTATCCTTTAAATGCTCAGCAATATGATCTGAGAACGAGGAGCTATTTTTGTTTGTTTATTTAAATATTTCTGTTCTAACTGAGCCTTTATCAACAATGTGGCAAAAACATAACCTGCAGGACTCTGTGACAATCATATTTAATTTGTTCTACTGTTTTAATAGTGTGTTAGTGACTTATTTTCATATGGGCTTTAAACTTTTCACTAACTGGTTAACAACAACCTTGGAACCATGACACTTATACACACTATATGGTTTTTATATTTAATGCAGTCAATACTAGGAGACACAATTAATTAAAGTGATCATTTTAATTTGGAATAGTATTTTAAAAGATATTAGGAATGATGATGTCATTTATCACAGGATCTATAATAAAGAGGCAAACATTGAGAAAGTAAAGGTGGTGAGGAATTAGTGTATACTATATATGGCTGCTCTGTTTGTATGAATATAATGGAAACATACTTCACTTTAGTCTGCTCTTGATATTGCTCTACTGTGTGTTAAAGTCGTTTTCATTATGTGCAGCTTATAATCATAACAAATGTCCTTACCTGTACAGCTTATGTTCCTTTCTTCAACAGTCAGCTTCACTTCATTACTTTTTCTTAGGTTGCCCCCAAATAAACTGGCCCAGTAGGTGTTAGTGTGGTTTAGAGTGAGATTTATGATGTGGTAAAAGACAGAATTGTTTTGGAGGCAAATAACAAAGGAACCTTTCCCACTTTTAAAATCGTCAATCTTTTTCTCGCCTGTTATATAAATTGCAATTTCACTGCGTTCATTAATGCTAACATTAAATGTAAATTGAAGGGTGATGTTGCAGCCAAAGATCCCGATGACTTGTGCATGGCTGGGGTCTGTATGGAGACAGAAGAGCAGATTTGCATTATAAACACTGATTAGTGGAGAAATTAGTTTGATGTTTTTAATGCTTTCTAATGCTTTTACTGTTATTCAATTTAAATTTAATAAATCCATAATGATGCATCAGTCTCCACTCATCAACACATGATCATACCCCGCTTTGTGATCCTATAGAATTTTAAACTAATGCTCTTCAGTATACAGTGTAAGCTGTGGGTAGCTGGAAGAAAGCAGTAGTGAAAACAGAATAGTCCATGTGACATATTCTGTGTTAGAGACATCAGTTGGTTTAATCCTCAAAAACCTAAAAGCCACAGAAGCAGCACAGGACGACTGATCCTCTCCACAAAGGAAACAGGCGGGTCACTTTTCCCTTCTGCTCACTACCTCAGTGCAAGTTCCACAGTTACTTTCCATCACTGACAGTAAAACTACAGGGTAGTGTTTAAACTACGCTAAGCCGCCACAGTAAAATGCCAGCAGTGCTGGATCAGTCTACACAGCCATATAGCCACCAGCAACAGCACCAAAGCGAAGTTCAGACTGATTTACCTGATTTATCTAGCTGCCATCTGTCTCTAAAGTTCAGTGTTAGCTCACATATAGAAATGAGATAAGTAACTTTTCTTAGATGTGTCATCTCCTCTGTTTGAAAGTCTCTCTTCTGTAGAAGCTATGTGATTTGGTGATTAGAAACCTTTAAATAGCAAGTACTTATATTTAAACAGGAGTCTAGGTGTTTGGACACCTACTAAAAACAGTAACGGAAACAAATAAAGTTCAAATATATTCTATTATACGCTAAAAGGTGAAGACACTATCCTTCTATTCTCTTCTGTTTATTAAGTTCAGAACGGCGGGGGGACTGGAGCTACTGCGTTGTCTTTTTCCAAATTAATCAGCCCAAATCAGCGTTTTCTATCTGTGTATCTATATTATATATCTATTTTAAGTTAAGTTATTTTTCAAGTTTTTTCTCTAAACATGTGTGAAGCACCTGCGGATGTCTCCATAAGGATTTGAGGGCTTGCATGTGGTATTAGTACGATCGCTTGTTTTTGGCATCATAAAAGTGTGATTGCTATATTTGTTTAACATCAGAACGTACACATTATGAGCCAGGGCTAAACTCACAATGCCTCAGACTAACTTTAATTTGCTGCAATGCCTTTTTCACCTCAGACACAAGCACACAGTGTTTTATCCAGAATGTGTCAGTGTTTTCAACATTTTTGAAACACCCAGTTCCCTGTTTTAATATCACTCGTTTGTGATAAAACTCTAACAGATACCGCAGCAAAACTTAGAACAAACCACTTGTGGAAACAGGGTTACCGACAAATAAAGTTGAGTCACAAAACCAGAGCTTTGTGGAACTCCCCAATTATGATTCAGTAATGGTAATTGAGTGGGGGAAACTGAGTTGTCATTAGAGACCTACTACAACGAGTTACATACAAAATATTCAGTGCATTAACTAACTGTCAGAGGAATCAGGGAGCAATAAATGTAACAGACAGTCAAGTTCATCATGCGCTGCCAGGACACAAAACCTCTCACACGTCACGGAGTAAAACAGTTACGAATGAGACGGCTTACCGTTGAACACCATGTGAGCTGTGATGATAAAAACTAGCCCGAGAGGCTTCGTGATGGTGTTTTCACCCATGATGGAAGCGTTAGGCTGCTCGGAGGCCTCTTGCGACGGCGCTTGGGCTTTGACCTTTCTGTGTGTGCGTTTTTTTCAGCTGCCCCTGTGATGTAAAGCCTAAACTCTACACTTCTACACAAGTGACAGCTTCTGTGCCTGCCTGGAGGAAACTGTAGACAGGAACTTACACCAACACCAATTTATCTAGCTTCAGTATCATAAGCGCCTCCCGTAACGGAAGACTTCAAAGGGGTTCATGGACATGTGGTGCAGACTGTGAGGAGGATGTCACTCACATGATGTGGGTAAAGTCAGGAAGAGTAAATAGTTTCCTTCATATTCTGGGGGAGAACATAGACTCTTACATCCTGTTTCTCTTAGAGGACAAATTAAAGTTTAAATTTAGAACACGGAAAAACAAACAGCACTCTTTTTTCACTTTTCATTACACATAAATGTATTTTTCTTCTTTTCTGCTGTTTTGCAACATTCATCTTGTATGAACAGGTTCAGGAGTGCTCAACACGACATCAAAAAACATCTGAACTTCTAAGAATTCCAGCAGCAACTTTTCTTCTAAGAAACAACACTCAGTATCCTGCATGTCCACAGACATCTGCAGATTAGAAGATAAGATATATTCACGATTGAATAAACACAATGTTATTTCAAATAAAAGGAGCCATCGTTTTAGGTCCACGTGCATGCCAGCTTCCCTGTGCGTGACTGTGATTGTGAATTATCGCACATTACCACTAACAGACTGCAAAGAATGGCCTAATAAAACATATTTCAAGAAGCAAACAATAGTTTACAATAGTTCACCGTGAGCAGCTGGAGCTCAAACACCAACCGCTGTAACCACAGCTGTCTGCAGGTTTGATCTTTATTGAACACCAGACTTGTTTTTTTGAAAGTTCATCTGATTAGAGTGAATTTACCAAGAAGTGTCTGTGATTGAACGACCTGCCGGCTGTACACAGACACCAACTGCACATTTTTAAACGCTCATGTTAATGAATGTACGTTGCTGAATAAAAATGACGATATAGAGACTGTTCCACCACTAACGAAACTTACTGTAAAGTTGATGTTACACGATTAACTCGTATTAGTTTCCTCATTACTGTAGGTGTTAAAAATCTGGCCTTGATACATTACACACACACACACACACACACTGTAACACTTTAACCACAGAAGAGGAAGTTGGGGGCTTTGAAGTAACAATTTGAAGACTGCAAGGGGGGATTTTGTTTGTTGGTTGTTTCAGTGGTTGATGGAGTTGGGCGTCGACTTGCAGCTCCTGTTCGCTCTTCATGTGGCATCTCCACAGGCAAAGACAGACCTTGTGGATTAGTCTCCAAGCTGATGACTCAGTTGTGAGGGGCGCAAATTTTAATGCATTTTCTGTCGGATAGCTGCAGCCCTTCGCCAAATCTCTTAATAGCTGAGTGTGTTTTGGAACGTAGCCATAAGCCTGTCCTTAAAAGAACTCAAGTGAGGTACATTTTTATTGCTTTTGATCCTTTTATTTATGGCCTACACACATAGTTTTTCAGTGCAGATGTGACTTGCGTGTGATGACTGTTGTTTTTCACCATTTCACAGGTGTGCATGTTTGTGTGTGTCTCTGTGTTAACCCTGCCACAGACTGGCAGCCTGTCTAGACTGCACCCTGCTTCTGTCCTATGGCAGCTGCTTTTTCTTTTTTAATAAAAAAAAAAAAAACTTCCCAGACCTAATCTCAGAGTTTGCAATAAAACTTTTTCAGTGGTTTGCTTTAAAAAAAAGGAGCATCGGCAAGACAATAGTATAATGTGATAAGGGGCAGTTTGACATGGAAGTATCATTTCCATAAAATCACTGTGTGTATTTTTACAAGTACAATAGGCTAACACACTGGAGCCCCTAGTGGTGATAACTGTTCATTAAAAACCTAAAAATAAATACAATTCTACCTGCGACAGAGCGTAACGCTCCTGTAGAGAGTTTTACTTCGTGGTAAAGTTGTCCTGTATCTGCTTAGTGGTGGATTTTTACATTAAGATTATGCAAAAACCTTTATTCTCCAATTGTACTGCAGTGAACTGTACTGTTCACATTTCTTTTCATTTGCATAAAATTCTGTTTGTTAGGTTTAAATATCACCACATGCTTCTGTTGGAGATGCTCCATCACTAGTGGGAAACTGAACTCACCCTTCATTGCTTTCTGCTGGAAAAAACAAATTTACATATGTAAATATATCACTGTTATAGGTGCATATTACTGAAATAACTCTTCTCTTAGGCATTTAGGAAGGTTAGATGCCCCAAACGAACTCTAGTTCTATAGAGGAACTTATTCATTAATTGATTCATGCAGCAACTTTCCAGCAAAAGTTTTCTATAAAATCCTGTACAACACAGACAAATGTATGTTTGTGGATAATTCAGGTCCAGTTTAATTTGGGTTTATTTATGTAGTGTTAAATCAAAACAATAGTCAACTGACAATGCTTTATACTGTAAGATAAAACCTTAAAGCATTCTGGAGAAAGACGTGCTGCAGTGCTGTATGATCATGTGGGGAATGAATGAGGTGAGTCCTCAGTGCATCATGTTGTCATGAAACTAGATAAAATCTAGTTTACGTATGATTGTTTTGCTGAAGGAGTTTGCTGATTTGACTCTTATATCAATCATCTCCATCAGGGGTCAGTGAGAGCAATCACAACAACGACTTCCAGCCCCAAAGAGAGCGTGCAATACTGACTACAGTTGCAGACACTAATGTAGTTATTTCACCCTCATTATTGCATTTATGCGCCATCTTGTGGACTCAATAGTCCCTACAAAATTTGCTTGACACGTGATAACCCACTGCTCTTTCTCCCCCGCTCCTCACATACACTTTCACAGAAACACTCAAGACACACACCTCGCCAATCCCCTGTGGTATTACTTCCTGCATCACAGCATTTTGAAAATGTTTCCTCTTACACCACATCATGTCCTGTTACACGCCTCTGTTGCTGTCACCCAGCAATAGGAATGCAAGTTTATTTGTTTATATTGCATGGCCTCAATTACGGTAATGGTACATTTTAACATATCATTAGTGTGTGCAAATTGACTTGCAGTGCACTAAACCATGGCTCACTTTGTATCTGCAGTGTTTGAGGGGCTTTGTAATAGAGTCAGTGAGGAAATAAATGAAGACCTCAGGTTTTGCTGGAGCCTTTATTAGGTCATCATGGGAATCCTCTTCAGATAACTGAGTCCAAGTCTGGCCACAATAAGACATTTACTCCTGTGGAAGCTCTGATTTTCCAATCAAATGTATGAGGGTAAACACTAACCACCTGTTTCAGTTCTATATTTTGAGAAACAGGTTGCTTGTTGTCCCTGCTTCGTGCCTTTGTTATTCTTTGATCCACAAGAAATGTCTGCATAATGTATTTAACCAAATAATATTTGCATTAATCATCTTATTTAAGCTATTTTTGTTTTTGTTTCGTGCAGTTAAACAGCCCCGTCTTCTTTGCTCCTCCCATGCAGTTTTGCTGACTGAAGCAAAGCCTTGCCTCACGTTTCACTGGTTTGGGTGCACAGCGAGTCCTCGCTCTTTTTAGTGAAGCCTTCGATATATGTGGGTGAGATTCTGGATGAGAGCTACAACAAAAAGCCTCAGTGGGGGTCTGTGGAAAGATGTGCTCGTATGTGTTTGAAGAAACAGCCGTATTCGCTTTAATATTAACAAATAATGCCCTTGAAAGTTTACTGCATCGCTCCGCATGTATGTGAATGACATAAGAATATGTATTAAGAGGCACCTTGCAATCATTTACGGCATTAATTTTGCTAAGCTGAATCTCACACAGCAGTGATGGGAGGAGGCGCACAGAATGGAAGAGCAGGAAAGCCCTCATCTCCATGGTAACTGACTCTGATGGAAACTGACTCTGTTATTAAACGCTGCTTTAACAAAACAATTACCAAGCAATCGAGAACGGGAACCCCACCACCACCACTACACGCACGCCACAGGCTCTCCAAAGTGTCAACAATGGTACATTTCCACCTTTCCACACAATAGCTCCAAAACCCACCAACATCCACCTTTCTAGTTTGGATTTGCATCATCCATACGCCACATTTAAAGTCCCTTGCAGGGCTTGAAGATGATGTCACAGACCATGCACAAAGCTAAATAGGTGAAATAATAAACCCATCATTTTTTGAGTCATTTTGGGAGATAGGAGGTAATCTGTTGATTTATGACTGGAGAGATGTTTGTTTTTAAATTGAGCTGCTGGATATTTGATTTCTGCTTGGGGATAAATACATTATCTATCGATCTATCTATGAAGAGTCATTATCAAGGTGTGGGAGATTTACAGGTGAGTGCTTTCCTTGCTTTTTGCTATCCCACAAGCGAACTACTGCCTGAATCCGTGAGCTTCCTGAGCTGTAGTGAGCTCATCTCGTTGATTTGCTGCAGTTTTACTGTTACTGAACACTGCTGGCCAAACACCAAACAGTAGACACACACTGTTACAAACAAAATGAACGATGAACTGAACGATACCTCAATTTACCAAAAAAATATACAACATAATTTCTTGTTTTCTTCAAAAAAAATAAAAATAAAAAGGCCAAACATCAAACAAATCAACCAGAATCACTATGAACTGCAAAGTTTCAAAAACACGTGCATGCTTGTCTTATGGTAATCGAACAGTAAACAGGTAGCACACTGCTCAGTCTAACAGGTTTTGTGTGGAAATGTGAGTGATGATGGTGGAGCTGGTGTGGATTGGACTCTGATTTTGATGGCATCACTGATGGAGCTGAGGTGTGACCAGTTGAAGCAGCTAAACCTTCACCTTTAGATGTTCTTACTGGACGGCACTTCGTACATCCACCTACAGCAGCAGGAGAATCGATTTTTAAGCACACACTAGCACACAAACACTACCCGTGGTAGGATATTCTACCTTTAGTCAGGCTGTAAAACTACCCCTCCCCCCGCCTCCTCTCCACTTAAGCCCGCACGTGCGCGCATACCCGAGGAGCCAATTAGAGACGCTCAACACTGTGATTTATGTGGACGGTCTCGACGTGGCCACGTGCTCACAGAGCCAGTAGGCTATATCCCCTCTGTGTAAATGCGCCGTGTCTGTGAAAGTG